ATGGATTTTATTGCGCTTCGGTTTCCCTAATGCCGAATTGCGACGTAAACTTCGCCTTCCTGACCTATTTAGTCGGATATTGCCGGGGTGGTAGGTGCCTGTTTCAAATTTGGATTTTAAGCTCCAAATAATCCATTTCTTTCCCCCACTTTAGGAGTAACAGAGACAGGTGCATTTAGAAACTTGCGTGAAAATCGAGAAACTGAGTAACCCTGTTAAGGCTCTTCGCCCTTTTTGGAAGGTTATATTCGCGAATGGGTCACAAAGCGCTAGTAAATCACTTAAGACGGACGGGTATGGGGTCCCTAGCAGTTAAAGTTCTGTTTTTACTCCTGAGGGACTGGCGACGTGACGATAACAAAAATCAAAAGGGGAAAAGGTTATATTTTGACTCTTTAAACTATTTTTGTAATTATATTCACTTGGAACTTGAGTACATTTTCGGTAACATATAACATGTTGCGTAGAAAAAAGCACTTTTGCTATGATCTTACTATCATCTTACCTATCTTTTACCTATATAATGGAAGCCTTGTATATATATATATATATATATATATATATATATATATATACAATAAGCGAAGTGTAGGGTGACCCTCCCACTAGAGTGACGACCTTGTAAGACATACATTTAAGTCGATGGATGGAGGTGGCTTAGGACCGTGCTTTGTGGCATTCCTAGACTTATGTTCAGCAGTGTAATGATGATGATGATGATGACGATACGATTTAAGATAAAAAGTAAGCTTTTTACCTGTTTAAGTGGTTGATCACTATCTCATCAAATGATACGTCGTGATATAGGTGAAGATAGTAAAGCGCACAAGCTTACCTATTGTTGATTAATCAATATATGTATGAGTTAATTAAGATAGTTATAATTGAAACGGACTATTTCGATACAGACGCAGTCGAGAATATTGTTATTTAATAATAATAATGTTTGTACAGTAGGGCTACGATGGCTATCCGAGTACAGAACCAGAGCTCGAAACCTATCCAACTGCAGAGAGGTGTAAGACAGGGTGACGTTATATCCCCGAAACTCTCCACCGCTGCATTGGAAGATGTTTTCAAGCTACTGGACTGGAAAGGATACGGTATTAACATCAATGACGAGTACATCACTCACCTTCGATTTGCCGACGATATAGTCCTTATGGCAGAATCGCTGGAGGACTTAAGCACTATGCTCAATGACCTCAATGGTGCCTCCCAACGGATAGGTCTTAAGATGAACATGGACAAAACAAAGACCATGTTTAATGTCCATGTTACACCTATGCCCGTAGTTGTTGGGAGCACTATGCTCGAAGTTGTGGACGAGTACGTTTACCTGGGACAAATAGTCCGACTAGGTAAGTCCAACTTCGACCGAGAGGTCAATCGACGGATACAACTCGGCTGGGCAGCGTTCGGGAAATCACGACATATCTTCTCGTCAGGTATACCTCAATCTCCAAAAACTAGATTGTACAACCAGTGCGTGTTGCCAGTGATGGTACTTCGAGATGCCCAAGTCAGAAAGGGAGCAACCAAACATAGAAGGAAAGACGGAAGGGGGCCGCCAATTGTGGCATTAATTGGGGGAGGCCTATGTTCAGCAGTGGACTTGTGAAGGGCTGTAATGTTGATGATGATGAATAATAATGTGCTCCTGACTGAATTTCAGTCACCTCGACCAGCCTCAAGGGAAATAGCTATCGGCGTAGGACAGGATTAGAGTAGGATAGGAAGTGTATGCGCAAGCACAGGTGCACTCTCTATTCTCTTATTCTCATAATCCGATTTAAACCGACACGACCAGAAAGAGATCGGCAACGGCTTTACGTGCCTTCCGAGGTACGATAGTAAGACAACATCAACTTCCTGACTCCAGGCAGCTACCGAGAATTTCTTGACGGAAAAACCGGAAAGAAAAGCCTGACTCGAAATTCGAAACCAGGACCTCATGATCAGCAATCGCACTACTACAACCACTAGACCAAGGGGGCAGTCAATTCAATTGTTATTTACCGTTACCGTTACTGTTACCGTTACAGCCTATGAATGTCAACTGCCGAACATAAGCCTCCTCTACAGATTGCCTCATAGCCATAGTTGCCACGCTTGGCAAGTGGGTTGGCACAGTTTATTTTTTTATTTTTAGCAATTATTACAAAGACGCTACTGTCCATCCCTTGATTTGTTTCCCACTGTCGCCTCTTACGACACCCACGGGAAGGTATGGGGTAGTGTATATTCTTATACTGCCACGGCCAACTCCGCCACTACATGGTTGATATTGTTGTTTTGTTATTAAAGAAATAAATTTTATTTTATGTAATAGTACCGTATGGTGATGGTGTACCTGATGACCTGACCTGATGGAGAACCTATAATCTCATTCCTTCCCTTGGGTGCTGTAAAAGGTGACTGTTGGTAATACCAGAAGGATCTTGCGGCTTGATATTTGGTGGTATAACCGTCTTAATTATGCCAGGACTTAAGCACCTAGACTTGTGACGGACAGTTGCGTCAAAGGTGCAAAACGACTGATGTGTCTATGCTCCTGTCAAGTGTGACAATGAAGGTGACTTTCATAGAGCGGAGAAATCATATCCAGCAGTGGAATCCTTGGTAAAATGGTACCCTTGGTGGTACTTTGTTGTATTTTTACCCCTTATCTTAACCCACTATTGGGTTTTCAAATTGCAGCAACTGGTATGCAACTTAGAAAAAATTACACAATAGTGATAGGATAGGCGGATTAATGAGAGCAGAGTTGATACCCTCGATGTTTTCGATACTCTGATAACGCTACTCCTCATTAGTAGTCACCCGTCTGTAAGAATATTTTCAAAACTTCTCACGGAATCTTAGCTGGATGACGCATCTTTTATCGGCAGACTTATAAACGTTACTGTGATGACGAACAAAATTATATGTTTACTAAAATTACATTTGAGTATAACTCTATACTTATTCTAACTGGTATTGATTATTTATTATATATTGTTATATTATCAATATAAGTTTATCTACAATAGGTTTATTTCGATTTTTCGTAAAAATTATGGGGAAAAAAATTAAGATATTGTGAGAAAACTATTACGTTGATATATATTGTCGGGCATAATGAGATACATGTTTAGCTTGGTTTTGTGAAATTTCCTTTGAATATGTAAAGTGTAAAAATATAAGCATTAATATTTATTTTGGTATAATGGGTATTTATGGTAAGGTATTATATTGGTAAATTGTTTTGGTTGTAAAAAGAGATTTATAATAAAAAATATTGAGTTGTAATGTTTATATAATACACATTAACAACTTTTTAACTTGACCCTTAGTTAATATAGCCTAAATAATAGTGACAATTCACCGCCTTCCTCCGCGAGATATTTATTGCTCCAACTTTTCCGTAATTAGGTTTCCAACTGCAGGGACAGTTAGGGTGTACCAACTCGTAGCTTGTCAAAAGCTGCTGTCTAATGCTTTTCAACTACAAAATATTACCCGTTCTTGCTGTAGCCATAAAAATACCCTTTTACGGGTGTAAAAGAGATGTATCAATTTCTTCCCCAAATCAGTGGCGAACAAAAGCTAGTCTTTGTATATTATTTAGAAAACAATGCAGTTTATTTTATACTTCTCCCGCTCTTAGCAAGTATGTGTGCGGATACTATTTCTATTTTTAGAGCTTTCAATGCTACAACGTTCGTTATATTTTAAACCAAAGTATTCCGAAAGATTTCAGTTTTTTTTTGAGATTTTTACCACCATTTTATTTTATTTTAATTGTAATACCAATAGCTAATAATATACAGCTAATAGTTAAGATAGAAAGTTGAGAAAGTTAAAGGCTTTTACTTAACTGACTTTTTTTTCAAGATTGCAATTGCGGTTACCAGTAATATAAGTCATATTTTGTAGCTTGTGGTATATAGTCGGCATTTTTTCCAAGGAATGTGTCATTTGGCGCATTCTTGAAAAGGCTAATATGTAGCAGTGGATTCTATAGGCGAATACAGAATACTTTTTAACGATTCGGTGACGCAATGGTTTATTAATGAGTTGCGACGTTGTTGGCTACGGGTCGAATCCCGCACGGAACAAGTATTTGTACCTATTGCCCACAGATAATTGTTACGGGTATGGTAGCTTGCTCATATGCAACTTATGTAGTAGGTTTGTAAACTGCTTTCACGATATCGAAGAAAATTTCACTTAGGTACGTTCATCTAAATTTCATTCATTTTCGGTGAATAAAAAAAATATGAATGCATTGACTACAATGCACTCATATTTTTCTAATATTTAAACTCACTAGCATATGTATAATATCTTTTATTATATAAAAATTTATATAAGAGAAGATATTATAAGACCGGGCTTTGTGACATTTCTTGTGATAAGCCTATGTTCAACAGTGGACTTCTGAAGGTCTGTATCATTAAAGACCTTGACAAGTTAGACTGATCTTGATGATTATATGTACTCTTGATGTTAAAATAATAAGTAGAGATCAGTATTAGTAAAATTATTTTTTTTTCCAATATTTATGTACTGAGAGTACATTCAAAAAAACACTTTAAAAACACCGCAGAATCTAACACATATGCACATATAAACTTATAGTAATTTTAAGGCAATAATTATATAAAGATTGTAGAATTAATTTCTTTCTTCAAAATATTTTTTGTTTGCAATATGCTGAAAAACCTTTTGTGTTTTTGTCGTCCTTAATATATAAAAATTACATTTATATAGTAATTTATAAATTCTACTGAGCATAAATTACACCATTCGTATAACTCGTGATCCCAAATGGGGTTTGCGTTGAGATCGTAATGAGATAGCCGTCTACATTCGTTGTACAATGTCCACTACAACACAACGTTCTATCACAAATTTGCCAATCACTGAACGATTTTCCAACGGTATCCAGCTAGTGATCATGTGTATTGCTTGTTAACGAGAAACAGTTCATGTTGTAACAATGTAAGAATGTAATAATGACTAGTCCAAGACGATCAAAAAAAGGTGGCCAGTGTGTAACACCGAGTTTGGACTGGGATTCACCGTCAGATGATACAGGAACAGTGAAAAGGAGAAGATCTTCGTGTCCAGAAAGCTCCTCAAAACAAAATATTCAGTTTCATGAAGCAATATTTGAAGCAGAGACACCTTCAGACTCTGGTAGTGGGACTTCACATAGTATTGGCGAAAGCGATAAGACTGATTCCCTCATAGACGTAGAACAAAGAATATCAGTTATTATAAATGAAAATAGATCATCCAAAAGTACGTCTGAATCTAGTGATATAGATATAATAATCGATAGTGTTTTAGACAACCCTGTTAATGATGATGCTCAAAACAATGTGTTCCTGTGTGACCGTAGCAAAACTTTTATTAGGATGCAAGAAAAACCCTGTCCTAAGAAAGCTGAGAAGAATGTTGATAATTTACCTCCAGCAAAAAAGTCTAAAGACAAAAAGCTTAGGACACCTACACCTATGGTTAAGCTTAATAAACCTTTAGATGCTGTTAAACATAATAGAAAAGTAACCAAAGAGATACCAAAATTGGATACTAAGTCCAGCGTTTTGCCAGTTTACAAAAGTACCGTACAAAATTCTGACGTAGACTTAAATGCAATTACACAGAAAAAGAAGGTGGTTTCTAAATTAAAACTGCCATTTCCTCCTGCTAAAGTAATGGATAAGCCAAAACTAAACCTATTTCCAAACAAGAGTAATCTACAAGATACTAAACCATCGCCTTTACTTTCATCACCAGTACGCAGAACAATTTCAAATGAATATGTACGGCTGAAGTTTGCCAATGATACTGTTGTCCGGCGTACTATAGACGGTAAGTCCGTGCCAAAAATTACTCCAAAAATACAATCCATAATACCAGAAAGTCCAGTAGACAGTGAAGATCCTTTTTTAAATCTAAGCCCTAACAAAAAATATACCGTTACTGTAAATAATAAAGTGAGATGCGATAAAGATAACTATGTGATATTTGATCCTAATACTGGATTTAAGCCTGAAGGAGCGTCAAAGCAATCGACAATACCTTCAAAAGCTATTAGTGAAAAATCAAGAATACCACTTAAGTCGCCAGTTGGTGAAAATTCAGTTCTTGGGAGAAAGTCAGTGAGTGTTAGTGATACCGACAGTGGTATTTTATCTCCTAATTCACCTATAGAGACAAGTGATAAAACCCCTGCATATTACGTGAATGCATCAGCGTTTAGCGAAACGGCAAAGAAATGCGCAGCGGACTTAGACATAACAATACTCAATCCTGAATTGGCGAGAAAAGCTACGGAGCAAGTAAAGGTAAGCGTTTTTACTTTATGTCTACATAGAATAGTCTTATACAGTTTATGTAATGGTTTCTAAAATAGTGAAAATTAATCTCTAAGAAGCAAGGTTTCTTCCAAAATACTTAGAATGTACAACTGTGTTTTTTTAACATTTAAATGTTTTTGGGAACCAGGTCAGAACTACTTAAATAACCTAAACGTGTTTGTAGCTCCCCCTCCCTATGTAATTTCATTGAATGAAGTCAGGCATATAATATACTATGTATTAAATGGCTGACGTTCAGTTAACACCTCAGTAGGTACTACAATATGTACAGTGTATAACGTAATAAATTTACAGCCACCTACTTACGGCTATATTTATGAAACTGTGCGCTCAACTTGAATTTCGTATTAAGCAAGTAAACTAAGTTCAAGAAGCTAGGTACTTTATTTATCTTCTTCAGACAAAACTATGTGATAAATCAGAGAAGAGAAGTAAGCTTGGATAGGGTGCCCTAAACTTATTGCTAATCATAACACACAAAAATAACAATAAAGGTGTTTATGTGTCAATAAGTCCACCGCGCTGCTCCAGTGCCTGTTGGCGAAATTCATATGTATCTAAAATAAAAATATAAAAAATTATTCACGATTATTTATAAATTATGATGGCGTCGTGGCGCAGTAGCTTAGCAATGAGTTACAGTGCTAAGGGCCGCGGGTTTGAATCACGAACACGTTTTTTATGACCTACAAATAATTGTTCCACGTCTAGATGTTTGTTCTTGTGAAATTTATGTATACACACTGTCCCCTACGATACAGGAGAAAATCCTAGCATGGATGTAACGTTTTAAAGAAAAACGACAATTAACAAATTTCATTGGCAACCAGGAGATTCTCAACCCCTAGCATTTACGGCGATTTTTCAGCCCCTGAGCTACAAAAGCTCCCTTCCTCCCCCCTCCCACGCTATAGGGTTTTGCCAATAAAACTAATAACAATATGATCACCAGCTCTAATGTCTTTTAGTTGACTTACAATCCAAACTAAGGAAATGTTAAGTGAGGAAAAACTAAAAAACAATTAAAGCCAAAACCAACCAAACCACCAAAGAGTAGTAATTTAGTATTTAGTATTTAGGCAATTTTTCACACGAAACAGCAGCAAACTATAGCATATACTGTTCTATTTGGGCCTTCCTTTTTGAAACTACTTCGAACCTTTCTTTAAAACGTCAACAGTAAGCCGAACATACCTACCTCTTTAAAATAATCTTTTGATGGTAGCGTAAGCCGTAATAGTATAAAATTATATGGGGATAATATACAACTAAATATAAATTTTTCAAATTGAGACTTAAAAATCTGTCTCGGTCAACTGCATTAGGAGAATTTGTAACAAAAAACATATTATACTGGATACCAGAAACTACTATCTATAATTTCATGCTGTCTTAATCATAATATGAAAAATAGGTACCTAATCAATACTTAAAATAAGTAGGTCGATGCGCCGGTAAGCCAGCCGGGTCTAGATTTCGGCCTTTGGCACGAGCTGATGCAGTAAATTTGATTTAATAACAATTTTAATAAATATTATCGTAAGAAATACAGTTTAATGCATTTGTAAATAGTTTCACTATATCTGGTAGCATTAATTAATCAGGTAAACACAACACGCGATTTATAATAAATAGTTTAGTTTGACGCCGACACTGAAGCTATCAAAACGGGTAAGATCGAGCAAAAAAAATAGTGGCGAGCGTTCCATTCAAAAGTAAGTTTCGTGCTGTATTTAATATAATTACTTAATATTGTGCTTATATTTCACTATATAAATAACCTAATATAGTTATTTGACACTGATTATTATAATAATTTATTGATAAAGTTAATAAATTAAGTGGCCGAAAAGTGACACATAAAATTGTCCAATTATTTGGTTGTCGGCCATGCGGCCGAAAAGTAGCCTGAGTTTATCCTAAATACTTTGTCTCTTTCGTTTATTTGGTTACGTACTATAACTCATCTTTCTTACTTATATTGAATCGTAGCGTGCGTAGACACTAACTTTCAGTTTTCGGCCACCAAGTACTGCAATTTGAACAGTTAGTGATGAAACAAAATACCCATTTCAGTCGTGGCCGAAAACTGGATTGACTCTAAAATATATACAATTTAGTTTTCGGCCAACTTAAAATTGTATGAAAGAATACGGCGGCGGAAAATGGAATGCTGTCTTAGTTTACGTTTACGGCCATTTCATCTTATCATATCAAATATTTTATTCACATTGCGTTTTAGGAAGAAAATTCAAAAAGAAATTTTTTTTCTTCAGATGGCTCCTATTGGTTAGAGATGAGAATGGTTAGATATGGTAACAGATTTTGTTAAACTAAAATACTTATGAGGAAGTACAAAATACTCGTAAATGAGAATATTTGATTGTTATATTTAAAAGATTTTATTATTAGATTATGATTCAAAGAGAAATAATTAATCATGGTTATTATTTTATATCAAAAACACACCCAAAAAGAAAAAAATAACGTCACGGTTAAAAAATCGCAATCACCGATGAGAAAACTAAATACACCGATTTCCCAAACCGTTTTGCCATTTTCTGATTTTACAAAAACACTTTTAAGTTTATAGTACCTCTTCTAATACAGTGGCCGAAAATTAAAATTCTTGTAGGCCGAAATCTAAAATTTGGGGCCGAAAACTAGCGTTTTGCGTATTTTTCACATCAAAATTTATTATAAAAAATAGATTTCTTTTGTAGCATTAATTAATTATCAAAATGAAAACTGCATTATATAAGCTATAAATTAACATTAACAACACTAGGTCAACAGAATTTCTATTATTTTTTATAGTACCTTAAAGTTGACAACTCCACTAAAAGGCCGAAAACCAGCGCAACCCTACTAAAACGTACCTAATACGTATACACGATTAACATTTACAAGTAGTTAAACCTAAGTCTTTTCAAATAATTGGTTGTAAATTATTATTTTATTAACTTTATTTGTTAGAATGATTAATTTTCCATAAATTTATTGAAGTGCAATTTAAAAACAATACTTACAGCGCCATCTATTGTTGAAAATAGACACTGTTTACTTATAAACATGTCTTCTACTACAGGTTTATTAATATAAAACTGTAAAATTCACGTGGTGCTAATAACGACTTATACTATTTTATTTTAATGACCTTATAATATTACATTCAATGAAAACTATAATTAAAAGTAAACTTATATAGAGCTCAAACGTTGCTGTAGTTTAGCTATTCTCCACTAGATGGCGCTTTTATTTAAATACCATATCGACTAAATTTTATTTTTCTAAAATTCCCCTTATTTGCTTAACGCCTTTCGTGATTAATGTACCACTCACGATGGTACATTATTTGAGAGAATTCGTGCAGTTAATTTTTAAATGGGTTCATTTAGCGGAAATAACGAACGGTAAAACGGGCGTGCGTTACCGGCTGGCTCACTTATGAATCGACGTTAGTTGTAAATGTGAAGGCAATTATTGTGGCACGGACAATCGCCGATGTTTGAAAGGGCGTTATTGTTTGTGTTTGATGATGTGCGGCAATAGATGCTATCATTAGAGCGTCATACTAATGACTTTTTGTGCGACAATCAATACGTTAGAGGGGATATTTATTTAATATTTATTTAACATTGTAATAATTTGTTTTGCTGTGGTTTCTTGTTTTTTATATATCGAGCGACGAATGCTCACAAATTCCCGGATATTTGAAACCTTTTCAATTCTTAGGAAATAGGCCTTACCAGCTTACCTTATTATCGAAAGCTAGTAGCGTAGTAGCTACAGATATTAGGGTCACATATTAAAAATTTTCGTAAAAACCTTTTTCGAAAATATAACTAGCCTACAACCACAAAATATACTCGGAAACGTGGCAATCAACTTGTCTTGTCTGTTTTTATAATTTTACGAAGAATGTCATAACGATATTTTTTTGTGTCGGTGGAACCGATTACTATTCCGTTCCGAATCGTCGTAAAAGGCGAATAAAAGAAATGCCAGAAACTTTGGTTAGATGGCGGTATAATCATCGAGTATATACCACAGATAAAATACGCAGACCTGAAACGACCAAAGCAGGCTAAAGAGACCTCAAAAGTTGCGAGACTTCTAATACTGTGATCGCCAATTAGCCTATCACAGAATAAATAACAGTAATAATTTTAACTACTTAGGTAATTTATATCTACTTAAATATATATATATATATATATATATATATATATATATATATATATATATATATATATATAATTTAATTTTTTCACAGCCAACTGTCAGGTGTTCCACAGGGACCTTTGCTTGGTTCTCTCCTGTATATAGCCTAGCTGTATGTTACAGGAACTTATTTACAATACGCTAAACAAAAAAGAAATGCCAGTTCCCTTAAGAAGACATAAAGAGACTTGCTCTATACCATAAAAATAACCGCATAAGAACTAATATCGACAAATGTATATCGATCTCGTTTACCACGTTATTCTTACCACGTTGACAGTCATCCCATATCAAAGACAAACAGCGTTAGCATATCAAAAACAAACAACTTTAAACAGCAAACTAACCTTTTCAGAACAAATTTCATTAAATACCATGAAAGCCTAGATAAATCTTGGATTTATAATACGTGTCACCAAACCTTTTACTGATTTAAGTTGCATTAAAACACTTTATTTTTCATATGCCCGCAGCGTGTTGGCTATATTGCTATACTAGTTGAAATCCCCAATATAAAAAATATGTCGCTGCCATAGCGGGTATATGTGTAATAAAGACTTCTCTAGCATTGACCCTTTTGCTTGTCCAAGACCAAGTTCAAAAATGCTGTCTCAGAGGTTTTGCCAGATAGCATAGCCTACACAGACACACATGCGCGCACACACACACGCTCACCTTCTTTCGTTCTTATCATACTAATACCCAATATACAGTAAACACTATACAGTAAATAGTAATACTAACAATACGACACAGGTAAAAACAGTATTGTATTATTATTAAAAAAGGTATTTTATGCTATACACTGTGCTGACAAAACATATTTAAATGTCTTGCAAAAATAATGTAAATCTATGAAGGCTTCTATACTCCATTATATGTCCGAAACTTGTTTGCATGCATATATATTGGTAAAGATATATGTTGTAGATTTTGTTACAATAAAAATAAATATTTTATAGGCGATGCAACGACTGCGATGTCTAGTGGCGGTTTGGATCCCAGCCGAAGGTAATATTGTATCTCCATCTCGCTGACAATGCGTCCCATCCCCGATCTTATCGCATAGGCGTTGCATCTTGCCTAAATTAAACTTAAAATCACTTTCAACAAGTAATATTACAATATTGAATAGAATTTTTTTCCCAGAAAGAAGTTTGTTCTCATTGTATAAAAAAGTACTTATTTTAGAGAAGAAAATACAAACAAATATAAGGCTCG